GTGTGTATGTGTGTGTGTGTGCGTCTGTGTGTTTTTTTTTTTTTAGTTTTTGACTTTTGTCTTATTCCTTGGCCTAGAAAATAAAGTTGGAAAAATATTATATAAAAAAATAACAATAAATGAATTATTAAAAACAGTGAGAAACATTTATTTTTATCCTCTCTCTCTCTCTCTCTCTCATCCAACACACCCGACCTCAGAGCACCACAAAACACCACACAACACAATCAAACACAAACAGAGACACAAACACAACACATTCAATGAAAGCAGAATGTTGAGTTCTGTCTCCGAAGTGACGTCCTCCTCTTCCTCCTCTTCCTCCTCTTCCTCCTCTTCCTCCTCTTCCTCCTCTTCCTCCTCTCTCTTCTCGGAACCAAACTCATGCTTAACATTCCTTCCATTTTGAAGTGAGAAACCCCCGGTCCACTCCCTGCACCTGTTCTGGTCCGACCGGTTCCGCGGCTCGTTTCAAACCAGATAAAACCCGGAGCCGCAGCATCTCACAGCATCACACCTTCAACTGAGAGGAATAAACAACAGCTCCACAACCAGAAAAAAACCAACAACTCACACAACATGAGGGTCTTCATCGCCGTCGTGGTCGCAGCCATCGCCTGCTTCGCCACAGGTAACGCACATTTGGACATTTGTTCTGTCGCACACAGGCAGAATCTCAGCTTTAAAATCGATTTGAAATGTGGATAGTTTTCATTCAGACAAAAATATCTAGGATTGAAACACATTTTGATGGATTTTTACTTTGCTGGACATTTTAAAATCAAGAGAATGTTAGAAATGTGTGGATTTACTGACTTTAAAAACACCATTATTGTAAGGCAAGGCAAGGCAAGTTTATTTATATAGCACAATTCATACACAAGGCAACTCAAAGTGCTGAACAAAACAAGAAAGCATTAGAATCATAAATAATCACAGAACATTAAAAAGAAAGATAAAAATATAAAATCCCTCAGTTGTAGCACAGCTAAACAGCACCGTTTTTAACCTGGTTTTAAACATTGTCAGAGAGGAGGCCTGTCTCACATCTTCAGGAAGATTGTTCCAGATTTTAGCAGCATGAATCTGAAAAGCAGCCTCCCCATGTTTAGTTCTGACTCTGGGCACTAACAGGAGTCCAGTCCCTGTGCTCCTCAGAGTCCCAGCAGGAGTCCAGTCCCTGTGCTCCTCAGAGTCCGGGCTGGTTCATATGTAAGTTCATATGTAAGTAGTGTAGATAAACAGCATTTTTACATTGGGAAAATATCTCATTGGCTTTTGGCTAGATTTGAAATAACTCACAAAACAAGCCAAAAATAACTGCATCTGGTTTGTTGACTTTCCAACTAAGAATAAACTCTACTAAAGAAAACATACGTCCAAAAGTATGAGTTGAAGTGAGAGGAAAGGTTTAGAATCCAAGAAACCAGCTCAAAACCAGACGTGTTTATCTACGTTTGTTTGAACAGTGAGAACAACATTTTTAGTAAATATGTTTCTTCTTTTCCAGTGGAGTCTCTGGTCTGCAACAAATGCAGCATCGGCCTCCTTGGATATTGCCTCAACGCTGGTAACGAGACGTGCAACAGCACCAGCAACGTCTGCTACACCTCCAAGGCCGGTGAGTCCGAAAACCTCTCTTTTTGTTGGAAAATCACATGTATTTAGTTTGCCTCAGTCCTTTCGGAGACACAGAGACGTTTCAACACCTCGACACAGAACAGAGGCAGAGGAACCGGTTTCACAGCCACTTTGTTCAACTTAATTAAACATGTAATTAGAAAGAAGGATGGAATTCAAACAATGCAAATGTAAAAGTGAAGGAGGCGTGACCCGACATGAGTCAGAGCGTTTGGGTGCGGCCGGTTTATCCAGTTACTCCTCAGTCTTTAAGGCGCATTTGTTTTTCTAATTGGGAGTTCCAGGTCATAGGTGAGCACACAATTACCACCTTAAGAAGAGTATCTTAATTTAAAGCTGAGGTACCTCACTTTTCCCACATAAATAATACATGTTTTTAACTCTTCTTATTAGACTTTTTTATTTGATCTTTCATATTTGTCTGGTCTGTTGTCTACTGTTCCCGGTCAGTAAGAAGCTGACGGAAAACTCTAGGATCAAACTGTTTTTGGAGTTAGTTTGATTTAATACTTTACATCTTTTATGGTTTTAAGATGAGGTTGTTTTCACAACTTAAAGAGCATGTGACATCACACCTTAACAGAACAAACTCTTCTTTCTTCCACTCAGCGTTTGCCAGTGTTTCCAGTTTCAAAGGGTTCGTGAATCAGGGATGTGGCAATAACACCTGCGGCGTTAACCAAACCAGCAAGGCCGAGAACGGCTCTCTCCCCATCATCGGCGTGGGCTACACCATCACCACCTCCTGCTGCACCACAGACAAGTGCAACCCCGTGGACACGTCTGGAGCCTCTGCCACCGCTGCCAGCCTCTCTGTGCTCAGTGTCGCCGCCCTGGGGGCAGTGATTGGAAGCTACATGTAAAACACCCCTCTCTCTCTTCACAGCAATAAATCTGACCCGAGCTGCTCTTTACTTCGTGCCCAGTGCATAACCTGTTAAAATGCTAACAGCATTAGCTGTGACATAAGTCTGTGACTGGTGTTTCATGAGAGAAAGTGGAAGTCGACGATGGAGCGTTTCAGTGAAATGCTGAGCTGTAAATCTTCCACAACCTTTTGTTGTATTTATCCTTTACCCACTGTCAGAATGTGTTTTCTATAAGAAGAAATAAAGTCTAACAATGATCTCTCTGTGAATGTGTTTTCTTTAATACACAGTTTTATGGTCGCATTGGTGTATATTTGTAATTGTGTTATCTGAGGTAGACTTCGCACATCTCTTCTATGACAGGTGCGTAGGAGTGGGCGCGCACAAGGTGGCCAAACATGAAAAAAGGATGACACACTGTCTAACTTGCAAACACCAGTGGTTTATTAGCAACGTTTCGGCCACAGGCCTTCCTCAGGCAAAATATACAAATAGAGGTTGGGAGCCATCTTAAATAGGGAGGGGCTGACAACGCCCCTGGATGTAATCAACTATACCAGATGACCAAAAAACTTTCACAAAACGTCAAAAACTCATCAAAAAGTGGAAATCACCAATATATACATATATACATGATGCATGAAGAAAAACATATGGAAGCAGACATACAGGACAGCTGATCAAGAAATGGCTGTCCTAATACATTCCTACATGTATTCTAAAATGTGTATTCTTAAAATGTGAATGTGGAAAATACACAGCACACTCGGATAGATGTCCAAAAGATCTAGTATTTATTAACGTTTCGGCCTTAGCCTTCGTCAGATCATTTTTATCTTGTTCATTTGGATCACAATAGGTGATCCAAATGAACGGCTCGGTCTGTACATTAAGGTATTTCTCCATACAGACCTCGCGCTCGGTTAATAAGCCGTTATTATGGCCCCGCCCTCTGACAAACAGGAAGCCCATGAATTTCACTTCAAAATGGAAAAATGATCTTTTTCACACATGTTGGTTGGAAAGCGACTCCTCCTCGGCCGTTTCACAGATTGGCCTCAAATTTTGATCAGTGAAATGTTGTTTGAGCAGCGGAGCGGCAAAATGTGACCGTTTTTGGCCGTTTTTGACAACATTAAATTTCAGAATCAGAATAATTTTTATTGCCACGCAAGTAACAGGAAGTCACCGACTTGGAAATTGCTTTGGCTCAGTGCAACAGTCAGAAAGAGATAATAAAAAATAAAGAATAAAAAACACTTCTAAGGAATACATTTAAATTTAAAATAGAGTTACAGTTACTATTTACAATATACAAGTGCACACAATGTAAGGTGACAGCAGTACAGTGAAGTAAAGTCACACAGTCATTACAATTTGACTAACATTCTTCTATGGCTACGGGAACAAATCATCACACGGCGGCGCCACCTCCTTTGAGCGGTCCTGCGTGGTACGGTGTAATAAGACTTAGTGTGGGGCGTTGTGGGGCAGCGTGGTGTGGAGCAGCGTGGTGTGGGGCAGCGTGGTGTGGAGCAGCGTGGTGTGGGGCAGCGTGGTGTGGAGCAGCGTGGTGTGGGGCAGGGCGGCTTGGTGCAGGGCGGGGAGTTGCGCGGTGCGGCTAGGGCCGTTCGACGCCGCTTGCGGCTTTAATTTTAGTTTTGTTTTGGTCTCATCAGCTTTAACAATGATCCCAGACTGTCAACCACTCGATGATCCCAGACTGTTAACCACTCGATGATCCCGGACTGTTAACCACTCGATGATCCCGGACTGTTAACCACTCGATGATCCCGGACTGTTAACCACTCGATGATCCCGGACTGTTAACCACTCGATGATCCCAGACTGTTAACCACTCGATGATCCCAGACTGTTAACCACTCGATGATCCCGGACTGTTAACCACTCGATGATCCCGGACTGTTAACCACTCGATGATCCCGGACTGTTAACCACTCGATGATCCCAGACTGTTAACCACTCGATGATCCCAGACTGTTAACCACTCGATGATCCCGGACTGTCAACCACTCGATGATCCCAGACTGTCAACCACTCGATGATCCCAGACTGTCAACCACTCGATGATCCCAGACTGTTAACCACTCGATGATCCCGGACTGTTAACCACTCGATGATCCCGGACTGTCAACCACTCGATGATCCCGGACTGTTAACCACTCGATGATCCCAGACTGTTAACCACTCGATGATCCCAGACTGTTAACCACTCGATGATCCCGGACTGTTAACCACTCGATGATCCCAGGCTGTTAACCACTCGATGATCCCAGCTTGTGCACATGTCGCTGATTCGAGCCACTGCTTTTATCCACAATGGTCTTCTTTGGGTCAGTATCCAAAGCTCATGATCGTAGGTGAGTTTTAAAGGCGCCACAATCCATTTCAAATCCTCTTTTTGTGGCATTAAGTGGTCCTGATGTGTCTCAGACAAATATAAATGTTCAATAGATTCTGTGGAATCTGAATTAGGAGTTAGTAAGTGCACAATGTGTTAAAGCATCCATCCATTTTCTTCCCCTTGGGACTTAAGGTAAAGTGGGGTTAAGGAAGTAAATAAGGTTTATTTGTATAGCGCAGGGGTCGGCAACCCGCAGCTCTGGAGCTCCAGGAGTCATTAGTTACAGCTGCACTAACTGACTTTATTTTCGTATTAATTACGAAAGTGCTATCCATGTCCATGTAGTGCATTGGGATATACGTCCATTTGAAGAAAAAGTAGCGCAGATTTGTGCTGGTCTGACATTATATTTTCGATCGAGTTTTGATGAAACAAGGAAGAGAATGTGTTTCGGGTCGCAGATTGTGACCAATCACAGCGCACCACTAGCCCCCACTTTCGTGAGAAATCTACAGGTCCGTTAGCATAGACAGCTGAGTTAGCACAACAAGCGGCGGAGCTAACCTGAAACTTTCTCGTCTTCGTCACCGGTTACTGCTTACTCAGCGACACATCCATCCAAAAGAAAGTCTCATTCCTCGGCGCTTCCCGGTTCTATCGTTCTATGGTCACGCCATCCACGTGTAAATCCATATCCATGTATTATCCATATTGGGAGACGCTAGCTCCGTCCCAACAGTGGGTGTGTGTGGGGGCGATAGCTTCGTGGGTGCGGGGAGGGGAGCAGAAAGAGGGAGGCCAGCGAGTCTGCGGCTTCAAAATCCCAAAGTCAGATAGTGCAGCTTTAAAGCAATTTACCATATTCAGGGTTCAGATATTGTTCCATTCTCTCCGCACGGTGATGACGGAAGTGAGACGCCGAGCACACTGGTCCATCAAAGCCTCCGACCAAACATCATTCACTCATTCATTACATTCATACTATTGTGCAAGCTACTAGTGGTAGGGGAAACCGGAGCACCCGGAGGAAACCGGAGCACCCAGAGAAAACCGGAGCACCCAGAGAAAACCGGAGCAGGCAAGGGGAGAACATGCAAACTCCACTCAGAAAGGCCTTGTTCCGACCGGGATTTGAACCCAGGAGCCAGCCACTGTGACGCCCAAGTGTCTTGCCTGAAATAGCCAAGTTAGCCTGAGTTTGCCACGTTAGTCACATTAGCTTGAATTTTGAACTGTTAGCTTGAGTTAGTCACATTAGCCGGGTAAGCCTGATTTAGCCACGTTAGCATGAGCGTGAATGTAGCCGAGTAAGCTTGAATTAGCTATGTTAGCCATAGTTAGTCACATAAGCCTGAGGTGGCTACGTTAGCCTGAGTTAGACACATTAGCCGAGTTAGCTTGAATTAGCCATATTTGTATGAGTTAGTCCCATTAGCCTCATTTTGCCACGTTAGCCTGAGTTAGTGAAATTAGCTGGAATTAGCTACGTTAGCCTGTCACATTAGCCTGAGTTAGCCACATTATCGTTGCACTTCCTGTTTCTCTGACCTTAGGTTGTGAAATATTTATAACATCAAAATCTGTGATTACAACTGCTCTGGGACAGAATGGCTCTTAACTCGAAGGCAAGTGGAGTCTGTGAGGTTCTTCTTGGTTAGAATGAAAACCTGCAGCCACATGGCTTTTCTGGAACCAGTTTGACCCCCCTCTGCATGTGCATATCCTGGTTCACTTTGTTGAAACAGAACATGTGATCGACCTGGTATTTAGCAGACGAGATACAAATCATTTTCTACTTCCTCGTAAAAGATTTCAGAACAATGAAGTCAAGCAAACAAGACAACATTTCTGAGATGTAACAGCCACAGCTTTTCTCGACAACAGACCAGTATCATATTTATTGTATATTTCTCAATGCTATAAACTGTAAATATAAACCACAAGCTTTTGAAAACAACACCAAGCTTTGGTAAGCTTTATGAGAACAGGGTGTTGCTTGGTTAGAGTTAGAAAGTTATCACAACATGTATTATCCACAGAACACCCAAAGGTCAATTTACACAGATGATTAAAGTAAAAAGCTAAATTGGGTTCTAAAAGGGTGAAGAAAAAGGCGTGAGGGTCTGGGGTCGTGTCGTGACAGAAGACATGTTTTATTGATGTTAAAACGATAATTCATTTATGTAAAGGCTCATGTTACTGTCACGGCTGAAGGACTCCAGACCCACTGAGCTCACACCGAGCAAACAGAGGAACAGGAGCTCAGTCTGAAGTTTGTATGTCGCCTGAAGCTCTGTTTACTTTGGAATGTTCTGGAACTACAGAGTCCTGAGTGTCTCTGAAACTGTTGTTTTGTGTTTTGTTATTTTTCTTTTTTCTGCCTGAGATGTTGCTGCAGTTCAGCTGTAGGTTCTCTGTCAGGTTCTCTGTCAGGTTCTCTGTCAGGTTCTCTGTCAGGTTCTCTGTAGGTTCTCTGTCAGGTTCTCTGTCAGGTTCTCTGTCAGGTTCTCTGTCAGGTTCTCTGTCAGGTTCTCTGTCAGGTTCTCTGTCAGGTTCTCTGACAGCTGAGGTCGAGCTGGTTTAGTTTACATTGAGTTCTATGGGGAAAATTTCTGGGTAGCCCAC